AAAAAAGAGAGATCGACATCTGGTGAATGCGGCCCCAGCCCCTCCTCTTCCTTCCATATCCACAGGCAGCTGGTGGGGGCGGGGTCCAGGGCTGTCCTTTCCACCCTTCACTCCACCCCCTCCCGAGCGCTGGGGTCCACCCACCCCGCAGTCCCAGGCTTTGCCCCGAGAGCCCGCAAGCCGGCGGGGCTGGAGCCCGAGCCCACAGGATGGGGCCGGGCCGGGAGGGCTTCCAGGCTCACGGCCGCCCGGCTCTTGCAGACATCCCCGAAGAGGAGGCCCGCTACTGGGCCAAGAAGCTGGACAGTCAACGCCCATGCGGGACTCAGGAGAGGTGAGTTCTGTCTCTCTGCGTCTCTCATCTTCGAGCCCAGGATTAGGAGGTTGCTGTGAGCGAGGCTGATGCCAAGCACTCTCAACCTGGGTGACAGAGTGAGACTCCTGTCCCTCAAACAACAAAAACAAAAACAACCACAAAAACACACTCCAGCCCTGGCAGAGGTTCTCACATCCTCTCCTGCCCCCTCAGGCCTTGGCCTCTGCAGGGACACTTGCCAATTTCGTAAAAGTTGCCCCGTCCCCACCACCCTGACCCCGTCCCGCCGCTGCTCCGTGCCGTTCCCCTGCTTCCTGGCTTCGTGTCACAGCAGAGCAAAGACCCAGGGAGGCCCCAGAGGACAGCGTGGGGAGGTTAGGGTCGGGGAAGAAGGGGCAGGCCGGACGACAGCACTGTTAGGACAGCATGAGGCTCAGAGAGGCCACGTGCACGTGTTAGTCATTTTTTTTTTGAGACAGAGTCTCACTCTGTCGTCCAGGCTAGAGTGAGTGCCGTGGCGTCAGCCTCGCTCACCAGCAACCTCAGAACTCCTGGCCTCAAGCCGATCCTCCTTCCTCAGCCTCCCGAGTAGCTGGGACTACAGGCATGCGCCACCATGCGCGGCTAATTTTTTCTATATATATTAGTTGGCCAATTAATTCTTTCTATTTATAGTAGAGACGGGGTCTTGCTCTTGCTCAGGCTGGTTTCGAACTCCTGACGTCGAGCAATCCGCCCCCCTCGGCCTTCTAGAGTGCTAAGATGACAGGCGTGAGCCTCTGCACCCGGCCTCTTTTTTCTGTCTCTCTTTCCTGCTGTCTCTCTGTCTCTGTGTGCGTGTGTCTCTTTCTTTCTCTGCCAACACCCGTGTCCTCCTCGCGGAGAAGGGGCGGATGTGGGAGGTGGGAGCCGGGGCGGGGCGGCACAGAGCCACCCCGGTCGCCGACTTGCCCCCCCTGAGACGAGCCCTCCCTCCCTCTCCCGCCTCAGTACTCCTTCCAAGACGACCGCGACAAGCCTCTGCCCGTCCCCAGCAACCAGTGCTGTAAGTGCCCCTCGGGTCCTCCCTGGGGTCCGTGGAAGCCCCGCCCCCACCCTGTCCCCCACCCCAGGGACGCAGTCCCGCTTGCGCAGCCCCGCGCGCAGAAAGAAGAGAGCTGAGGCGCGGGTTTGGGTCCTGCCTTGCTACGTGGCCCTCCGCGAGGCCCTCAGTGCAAATGGCACGTGCGACAGCTGCCCCCCGGCTCTGAGGGCTGTCGGGACACCCGGGCTGTCCCCCCGTGACTCAGTCACCGCGCCGTTCCCGGCGCACAGTCCACGGCCAGACGGCGGGACAGACGCGACGCCCGCACGCCGGACAGGGGCTGTTTTACCCACCCATTTTCTTGGAGGGGGAAACTGAGGCCCCCAAAGAGGAGAAGTGACTTGCCCAAGCCCACCCCACACCCCTGGCAAGTGGCAGAGTTGGGATTCGAACCCAGGTCTGCGGGCGCCACGGTCGCCTCTCCTGCCACTGCGCCCCGCGTGTGAGCGGCGGTGACCTCGCTCCTTCCGCGGCCCGTGGCCCCGCGCGCAGCCAGGCCCGTCCCCGCGGGCCAAGCGCGGGTCCCTCCCTCGCGGCGCCAGTCCCGGCGCGGACAGAGCGGCAGGTCTCACACCCCGCACAGCACCCCGTGGGGCCCCTGCGCCCCACTCTGCCCCCCCCCCGCTCCTGCCCCTCCCGCCGTCCCTGTGTCCGTGAGCCCCCGGGGGTGCGCCCGGAGCGGTGGGGACGGGCCCGCGGGGCGCGGGGGTGGGGGTGCGGTTCCCACAGCGACCTGGGGCACGGTTGGGAGACAGCCCCTCGCCTTCCCCGGCCGGGGTGGGGGCGTCGTCCCCACCCGGAAAGAACCACAAGCCCCGGCCCTCCCGGGGGTGGCCGCGGAGGGGCCGGGCAGGCGCGGTGTGGCGGGTCGGGGGCGAGGGACACCTGCGCAGGTGCGCCGACGCCAGGCCGGGCTCCATTTGGGAGACGGAGGCCGCCTCTCACCTCTCACCTCTCTGCACGGACCGCCCGGCCCTCCCCGGAGCGGTTTGTCACCTGTGCTCCCCAGAGGAGGCGCCCAGGGTCACAGAGCCCGGTCCCTGGTACCTGGTGCCGCGGGGGTGGGCGGCTTGTCCCGAATCTCTGTGCTGCGCATCCCAGTGCGAGCGACACGCCCGCCCGCGGGGGCGTCGGGAGCCGCGTGCCCGGCCCGCGAGCCTTTCCACGCCCGCGCCCGAGGGGCCGGGACCCGGTTCCCACGTCCACTCCGCGGCCCGGCGGCAAACCGGGGCCATTTACCCCGCCACTTCTGTCGCCCCGCGTCACCATCTCCCCTCTCTCCGCAGGCAACTGGAACTACTTCGGCTGGGGCGAGCAGCAGAGTGAGTCCCCCCACCCGCGCTCGGGACGCCCGTGGGGGGGGTGGCTGTGGGGGTGGGGGGAGCCGTGGGGGCGGGGCCTGTGGGGGTGGGGCCTGTTGGGTGGGGCCCGAGGGGCGGGGACGTGGGTGGGGCCGTGGGGTGGGGGCTGTGGGGTGGGGGCTGTGGGGGCGGGGGTGTGGGAGTGGAGGGCCACCATGGGGACCCGGGGACCGCCCAGCACACGGGGAGGGCTGACCCGCTGGGGCCCCAGGGTGGGAAAGACCTCCCACCCACGAATGCCTGTCTCAGGGCCCTGCTCTGTGCGGGCGGGGTGGGCCCCGTGACACCCCCAGCCTCCCCATGTGCAGCCTCATTTCCTCTCCCGCGACCCCTCCCCGCCTCCTGTCTTCCCATCCCCCCTGCACCTGGAAGTGTGAGGCCAGAGGGGGCGGGTGGGGAGGTGTCTCCAACACAGAAGTGGGGCAGGGACCCTCAGGGAGAGACAGCACTCCAGGGGCTTCAGCTCGTCAATCCCCCCAGCCACCTGCATTCCTTCCTTCATTTGCCACCTCCACCCTGGAGAGCCCGCGAGCCATGCACACACACACACACACACACACACACACGCCGATTTATATTTTTTTGTAGAGATGGGGTCTTGCTATGCTGTCCAGTCTGCTGTCAAAATCCTGGCCTCAAGCGACCCTCCCTCCTCAGCCTCCTAACGTGTTAGCATTACAGGCATGAGCCCCTGCACCAGCCGAATTAAATGTCCATTTTTCTCCTTTTCTCCCATATCCTGCCCCTTCTAGAGAAATCCAGTCCTCTAGTCCGATCACGAATCCGCCCCCTTCTGTCTCCTCCCCCAGCTGGGGACTCCTTCGCTCCTTCCCCACGTCCTGGTGGCCAAGCCCAACTCCAGGACCAGGGACGCTGCTTGCAGGCACTTTGGCCCACTGCGATTTGTCAAAAACAAGTCGGTTAAAAGTCAGTTCTGCCACAAGAGGTGTCGGGCAGGCAGGGCAGGCTTCCTCGCGACCGGTTCGCCAGAAACGAACAAGCCGGTCAAAAGCAAAGACGTTTTTGGCTAAAACCAGTGCGGCGAAAGCTGATGATTGGGTCGAAAAGGAAAGACAATTGAGCTAGAAGCAGGCCATGTGGGCACAACAGAAGTGGGTGAAAATGAAGGCAATTTGGTCAAGCGCTATTTGGTGAAAAGCAGAACTAAGCAAAAGCAAAAGGAATCCAGCTAGAAACGCCGCGTGCCTCATAAACGACGTGTCAGAAGCAGGAATGACCCGGGGACCGTGTACGCAGCGTCGTGGGGTTCGCCTGGCCACGTCCCAGCCTTGTCAAGGACGATTTGGTGGAAAGAATGCTGATTTGCCCAAGTACCGAAAGCCCAGATAACTGGGAGGAAAAGCGGCCAGCCAGGGACACGTCTATCCAGAGCGGCGGGATGAGGGCCAGCAGGCCGCAGTGGCCCGGGCCAAGTGGGAGACCAGGAAGCAGGGTGGCCTAGATACGCTCACCTTTGCAGGCTCAACACGAATTTAGGGTTTTTCTAAAAGCAAAATAACTCAGGGGGCAAGTCAAGACAGCTTTATCTGTCTAAGTACGAAATTAATTTTTTGATAGCTCGCCACATTAACAAGAATTCAGATATATTTTCCTTTTCTTTCTTTTTTTTTTTTATTGAGACAGAGTCTCGCTCTGTTGCCCAGGCTAGAGTGAGTGCCGTGGCGTCAGCCTCGCTCACAGCAACCTCAGACTCCTGGGCTCAAGCGATCCTCCTGCCTCAGCCTCCCGAGTAGCTGGGACTACAGGCATGCGCCACCACGCACGGCTCATTTTTTTCTCTATATATTAGTTGACCAATTAATTTCTTCCTATTTATAGTAGAGACGGGGTCTCGCTCTTGCTCAGGCTGGTCTCGAACTCCTGACCTCGAGGGATCCTCCCGCCTCGGCCTCCCAGAGTGCGGGGATGACAGGCGTGAGCCACCGCCCCCGGCCCAGACGTATTTTTCAAACATATAAAAATGTACTCAATTAGCTGAAAAGGAATTAGAAAGTTAAAATCATAAAGTAAGAAATACACACAAATATCTGGCAAATGAGCAAAAATACTCAAAGACTTAAAGACTTTGATAATGGTACGAACCAAGCCAGGTGCAGTGGCTAGCGCGGGCGTCCTCAAACTACGGCCCGAGGGCCACGTGCGGCCCGCCGAGGACATTTACGCGGCCGGCCGGGGTGTCTTCGCCGCCGCCGCCTGTCCTGCTTAGCAGCCGGCTCGTCCCGGGCCGCAGCGTGCTCTCCAACGGTCTGAGGGCCGGCGGACTGGCCCCCTGTTGAAAAGCTTTGAGGACCCCTGGCCCAGCGCCTGTAACCCCAGCTACCCAGGAGGCTGAGGTGGGAGGATTGTGTGAGGCCCGGAGTCCGAGACCAGACTGGACAACATAGTGAGACCCCCATCTCTACGAAAAATTATATCAAAAAAATTTTTTTTCAAGAGGTGCAGATGGCTCCCTGCTGCAGAAAATCGTCAGCCAGTAAACCCCACAGTGGAAGTTGCCGCGAACCACCGTGTCAGCATTTGAGTGGTTTTTTGCAGGCTATTTATTTGCAGCCCAAGTGCTGCTTTCTAAATAAATTCTCCGCTGGGCCGAGACAATCTAAGTGCCCTGATGCCGCGGCCTCTAAATGCAGTCAAGGTCTTCGAACTGGCCTCCCTCCCCTCCCCTCCCCTCCCACGCCTCGCGCTCCTCTTGCTCTGCTTTCACAACGGAGAAAACTTTGTCGTTCTCCTCCGTGCTGAAAGCAACGCGTGTGCTGCCGAAGTCGTTTTCTTCCAGAAGGTTCAGGGAGGAGTAAAGGTGCCGTCCCCAAACACCCGCTGCCCAGCCCCGTTGCTTTCAGAACTTGGACTTTTTCTTTAGGGGTTGCGGAATTCAACCGTCTTTCTCTTTACTGAGGAAACCAAACCCAAATGGCCTTGACTTCTCCCTGCGCTCTTGGCGGTTGGCGGCCGCGCCCCGTTCGCTCTGGCGACGGCCCGGGCGCGTGGCGGTCCTGCCGGCCCGGCGTCCCATCCGCTGGGACTTGAGGAAACCTCTGAGGGTTAACGGGCGTTTCCTCCGCCTTGTGCTCCTGCCCTCCCTCCAACCTCTCCCTGAGCGCGAGTGCGGCTGCCGGCCCGGGAAACGAGCTGCCCGGGGGAAAACTCCCATCGCGCTTTCAGAGAGCCCGGACTTTAGCAAAGCCCTTCCTCACGCGCCAGCTGAAGGGGGTTGCCCTCCGCTGTGTCCCTGTTGTCATTACGTTGCAGAGGCCGCTCCACACCCTAGGCTCGAGGTCCCATTTGCCCCACGTAAAGCAGGCTTTTCACCTCCCTTGTTCTAAAGCCTATACCTCTATTAACATGACCCGCCGTCATCCATCCATTCTGGTAAAAAATGTCCCTTCTTGGGTTGGCCACACAGACCCTTGGTCTGGGAGGCTGCGCTGGCCTCCATCCCTGGGCTCCCTCCCTTCCGTTCACCCCTCCTCCCCTCCCCTCCTCTCCCTCCCAGACGATGACCCCGACAGTGCCGTGGATGACCGAGACAGCGACTACCGCAGCGAGACGAGCAACAGCATCCCGCCCCCCTACTACACGACGTCGCAACCCAACGCCTCCGTCCACCAGTATTCCGTCCGCCCCCCGCCCCTGGGCTCCCGGGAATCCTACAGCGACTCCATGCACAGTTACGAGGAGTTCTCCGAGCCAAGGGCCCTCAGGTAGCCGTGGGGCGGGTCTGAGCGGGGAGCGGGTGGGGCCAGGGACCCCCTGGGGGCAGAGGGCGGGGCGTCCAGCAGAGCAGAACCCGCACTTTCCTGTGGGCAGTAGGGCCCTTTCTTTCCCTAACACCTTGCCAGAAAATTCCATGAGCTCGGCTGGGTGCAGTGGCTCACGCTTGTCATCCAGCACTTTGGGAGGCTGAGATGGGAGGCTCGTTTGCAGGCCAGGAGTTTAAGACCGGCCTGGACAACATAGTGAGAACCCATCTCTACAAAAAAATAAAATAAAAATAAGAAAAATGAGCTGGGCATGGTGGCACACGCCTGTAGCCCCAGCTACCCGGGAGGCTGAGGCAGGAGGATGGCTTGAGCCCAGGAGATTGAGGTTGCTGTGAGCGAGGCTGACGCCACGGCACTCACTCTAGCCTGGGCAACAAAGCGAGACTCTGTCTCAAAAAAAAAAAAAAAATATATATATATATATATTCCAAGGAAATGAAATGAGTTACTCAAGGTAAAACATTCTGTGGCAGAAGTGGGAGTAGAGTCAAACTCGCCTGGCTTGCCCGAGCATTCTTCCCGCAAATCCTGTGCGCGTGAGCCACCCTGTGTTCTTAGGACGAAAACAAAGAACGAGATCTCTTTTTACCTGCGTTGGTGACTTCCTTGTTCAGACTCTCTTCAGAGGCCCTGTCCTCCTACCAGCTTCCCCTCCATTTCTGCAATGGACACGACATTTTTGTTTGTTTTATTCATTGAGAGAGCTGAGTGGTGGCCCCCACGTCCTCCCGCCTGCCTTTCAGCAGAGAGGGATATCCCTTCCGGTCACGCTGCGCTCGATTCAGGGTGGAAATGAGGCGCGTATAACGGGGGCCTGGCCTGGCCAGAGACGGTGGCCTTTCACCCCAGGAAGTGAGAACGGGGGCCTGGCCTGGCCAGGGGCGGCGGCCTTTCACCCCAGGAAGTGAGGTGCCCATGGGTTCCCAGGGATGAGTAGGAGTTTGCCAGACAAAACAGACATGGGAGCGAGCAGAGCAGGTGTGGAGGCCCTGGGGTGGGCATGGGTTTAGGGTGCTGGAGGACCAGTGAGGAGGCCAGCGTGGAGAGAGGGGGGGGGCGCTGGAGGGTACGGACAACGTGAGGCTAGAATTTTTTTTTTTTTTTTTTTTTTGAGTCAGAGTCTCACTCTGTCACCCGGCTAGAGTGCCATGGCGTCAGCCTCGCTCACAGCAACCTCCAACTCCTGGGCTCAAGCGATCCTCCTGCCTCAGCCTCCCTGGTAGCTGGGACTACAGGCATGTGCCACCACGCCCGGCACATTTGTTCTCTCTATATTTTTAGTTGTTCAGATAATTTCTTTCTATTTTCTTTTCAGTAGAGTCGGGTCTTGCTCTTGCTCAGGCTGGTCCCGAACGCCTGAGCTCGACCGATCCTCCCTCCTCGGCCTCCCAGAGTGCTGGGATGACAGGCGTGAGCCACCGCGCCCGGGCCTAGAATGGGCTTTATTATTCCAAGGCACTAGGGAGCCACAGCAAGGCGGGAAGGGGGATGTGGTTACATTTATGATTCTAAGGGGGCCCCTGCGGCTTCCAAGGGAAGCAGGAACGGTGGAGAGCCTCCGGCAGGGACAGAAGAGGCCGGACCGGGGCGGGGCCCAGGGAGGTGGGTGCGGGGAGGCGAGGGCGCCCACCACAGGGAGGCCAGCAGAGGAGGATGGTGGCTGGAGGGCTTCGGAGGTGGGAGGCCCACGGGAAGCCCAGGTTGGAGCCGGGGACACGGAAAGCCAGGCCTGTCCCCCCCACCCCCTGTCTCGTGGTTTTCCAAGGAGCTCCAGGTGTCACCTGGAGGGCCCCTGGCCAGGGACGCCCGATCCGGGGGGCCCAGGGTCCGGTGGTGATTCTTTCCTCCCCCGCCCCCCGCCAGAACTTCGAGTCTCTTTTTTTTTTTTGGGCTTGTGTTTTTTTCGCATCTCTAGCAGAACGGGGAAGGGGGGGGCCGGGCAAACCCGTCGGCGCTCCCAGAGTGCTTTTAGGGGAATGGCTAGGTGACGGGATCCGCGTGGCGGGCTTTGGGGCAGGTGGCCCACCCCCGGTTGCCCCGCCCCGTTGAACCCGCCTGTTTCCCCGCAGCCCCACGGGCAGCAGCCGCTACGCCTCCTCGGGGGAGCTGAGCCAGGGCAGCTCGAAGCCTTGAAAGCGGGAGCTTTTCGACACCCGACGAGCAAGAGTTCACCCCCTGCCAAGGGACCGAAGCTGGAACAAGAACGAGCGGAGGAAAGAACTTCCTACCACTGCCACAGCTCTCAGTGACGCTTACGCAAAGACTCGCCTCCGCTTGGGGCCAGGACGAGGGAGGGAGCTTGGAGGCAGGACTTGGAGGAACTTTTCCTGGAGAAAGGAAGGAGGAGGGAAAAGCCTTTGCCCCGAGGACGAGGAGAGCTGTGGAGGAGAGGGAGGCAAGGAGGAAGTGCCGGACGACTCTGGAACAGCTTTACGCCCGGCGGGAAGCAAAGGCCGTGTGCGGATGCCAAGGACTTTTCAAAACCGTCAGCCGTGCCACAGCCCGCCCCGGGGAAGGAAGGAAAACAAAAGGACTCACCCCGCACTGCCGAGCCCCAGCCAGCCACGCCGACGAGCGCCTGTGCCGGCAGGAGCCCAGCACCCAATGGCTGAGAAAGAGGGTTTTAAACGGGGACGCTGTTGGCGGAGGGGCGGGAGGGGCTGTGACAGGTCAGCAGCGACGGCCGGATGAGCCCGCCGTGGGGCCGGCGTGGACCGGCGTGGCATGCAACGAGGGGCTGGATTGTCAACTTACAGGCCGTGGGGTTTTTACGAAAGGGACCCGAAGTGGCCGGGGTGAATTTGGGGAGCTTCACAGGTCTGGCCGGATGGGTTTCACGAAGGGCTGCTAGGGTTGGGGGTGACCTTAGGCGTTGGCCTGAGAGTACAGGGCTTCGGGAGAGCCTGTTGCAAACGGGTTTTGGAAAGGCTTTGGAGAGGGGCCGAAGTGGGAAGAGGCAACCGTGAAAAAGGTTCGGGAGGGGCGAGGGCCAGAGGGGACGGCAGTGGGTCCTAGTGTTCTCTGAAGGGGCCAGCAGAAGGTCACGAGGGAAAGGGTCACTTGGAGACACAAGGTCAGGGAGGGTCGAAAAGGTTCAAAATGGAGGGCTGGCCCTTGCAGCTTTCTTTGGCGTTCCTGCCCTAGTTTTCTCAGCACGCAGAGGATGGAAGAAAGCCAGGAGGGTGCCAGGACTCCCATGGTCCAAGGGCCAAGGCCAACTGGCTGCGGGCCTTCAACAAGGTGCGGATGCAGCTTGCCAGGAGGTGTGAGTGAACGGGAAAGCCGCCCCACACAGAGGCCACGACAACACCACCTTGGCCCTGCCCATGCCTGGCGCTGCCTGGCCTGGCCACAACGACTTGCTTCCCTACTCAGAACACGCCGGCCAAAACGGCAACCAGCCCATTCCCCAACCCACATCAGAAATTGGCCCGACCCAACACTCCCATCAATGCCCCACCACCCGCCCTTCCAGGCCCACGCCCACAGCGCTTCAACGACCTTCCCATGCCCAACCCACATCCTGCCTGGCACGCAATTTCTCCAGCCACACCAACCCGAAGTTGGTCACCACAATGGGTTCCTTCCAGCCCACCCAGATTGGCCATGACCAATGACGTTCCCACACCCTTCTGCCCCACCCACAAGTCTGGCACGCCCACGTCGTGCCACGGCCCACGGCCTCCCCACGCAGCCCACTTTTTTTGCAGACTCCCAGTCCCTGGACACCACGCCTGGCCCCGCCCCTGCTAATGCGACCTTTCCCGCCTCCAGCCTGGCCCCGCCCACGTCCAGCCCAGCCTCCTGCCCCGCGCCAGCCTGGACTTTGCGAGCGCGGAGGGGGGAGAGGCGGCTGGAGCTTGGGGCTGACAGCTACAGCCATGTCAGGGGTCAATGTATGGTTAAGGATGAAGGTCGGGGCTAGAGCCACAGTCAGAGGTCAGAGGTCAGGGTTAGAACTGGTGTTAGGCAAAGGGGTTAGTTAGCACCTGGGGTCAAAATGGAGGTCACTGCGGGAGTTGGGGACCCGTCTGAGGTCAGGTGAGTGTGGGAGAAGGAATCAGGTGAAAAACAGAATTAACGCCAGAATCGGGGTGACGGTTCAGGTGGGCAGCAGAGTTGAGGCCATTCCTCTATTCCTTGATTCATCCAGCTCACTCTGGGCTGGGGACAGAGCAGTGTCGCCATCCAGGGTGACCCTCCAAGCTGAGGGTCTTGCTCTGTTGCCCAGGCTGGGGCGCCATGGCATGTTATATAGCTCACGGCAGCCTCAAACTCCTGGGCTCAAGCGATCCTCCTGCATCAGCCTCCCAAGTAGCTGGGACTGCAAATGCCACCATCATGCCTGGCTCTTTTTTTTTTTTCCATTTTTTTTAGAGATAGGGTCTTGCTATGTTGCCCAGACTGATCTTGAACTCCTGGGCTCAAGCGATCCTCCCACCTCAGCCTCCCGAATCACTGGAATCACAGGCGTGAGCCACCACACCCGGCAGAATTTTATTTTTTCGACTTAATGACATATCCATGTGGTTCTAAATTCAAAAGGTAGAAAAGCATGTATGGGGAGAAGCCTATTGAATGATTTTAACTTAAGGCAGCAGATTAAATGGGGGAAAAAAAAAACCGGCCGGGCGCGGTGGCTCACGCCTGTAATCCTAGCTCTCTGGGAGGCCGAGGCGGGTGGATTGCTCGAGGTCAGGAGTTCGAAACCAGCCTGAGCAAGAGCGAGACCCTGTCTCTACTATAAATACAAAGAAATTAATTGGCCAACTAATATATGTAGAAAAAATTAGCCGGGCACGGTGGCGCATGCCTGTAGTCACTTGGGAGGCTGAGGCAGGAGGCTCGCTTGAGCCCAGGAGTTGGAGGTTGCTGTGAGCGAGGCTGACGCCACGGCACTCACTCTAGCCTAGGCAACAAAGCGAGACTCTGTCTCAAAAAAATAAAAAATAAATAAAAAATAAAAAAAAAACCCACCAGCTACTGCTGGAACCATACATGACAAAAAAAAAACAAAACTGTAGAACTAGTGATATGACAAGAAAAATAAATATGGGCAAGGTCTCTGGGTTTCATAGAAAAGGCATAAAACGAATCCAAGGCAATCGGGAAAACTCCAGGGAGAAGGCGGCACTCAAGGAGACATGATCTCCAAAATATTTCCACCGACCTTTCAGTCGAGCTCTGCCCGCCCCCATGGCTCCCACGTTAACCCTTTGGGTGCTGGGTGGAGGGGAGGGAGGGGGGTGCCGGCCCAGGTTCTGTGCTGAGATCTGAGCCATCGGAGGAGGCCGGTCAGGTGCAGAAGGCGGGAGAACACCAAGCCAGGGGCACCGCTCAGGCAGAGTCCCTGAGGGGGCATGCAAGCAGGCGAGCCGGTGAGGCCTCGGGGAGTTTGGGGGGTGACGGGATCCTGTAAGTGTTCTCGGATCAGAGAAATCGTAGCTACCGAGGATCCCAGGGCTACAGAGCACAAGTTCTTCCTGGAGATGATGCTAGATCCCCGGGTTTGGTCAATGGGGAGAGGGCCTCGGGTCCATTGAGGACGGGGCCTCCTCTCTCCTCCAGCCCATTTTACACATGGGCAAACTGAGGCCCAGAGAGAGCCAGGGAGCTCCCTGAGGACACACAGCCAGGACCAGGACCCAGGCCTTCTGACTTCCAGCCCAAAGGGAGGCAGGAGTGGGTATGCATCCTGCCCTAGGGAGAGGGGAAGTGGTGACCACACTGACCATGTCTGTCTGTCCGTCTGTCCTGCAGGCCCGGGGAGAAGGGGAGATGTCCAAATCCCTGTGGTTCAAAGGCGGGTAAGTAACAGACCTGGGCTGGGAGGCGGTTTCGAACTCAGAGCCCAAGCCTGGTTTACAGCCAAGCCTCAGGCGACTAGAGGGCGGGGAGGGGTCCTGTGTAGACAAGGGACAGATTCATCAGGGAGAAAACAATGTGGCCACCCGCTCATGAGACACCTAAATAACCACAGGCAGATGCCAAAGGCATCTTTGGATTGATTGGAAGACACTGAATTCTCACAGCCGCCCCGGGGCAGGGGTGGGGGCGGTGGGCCCTGCTGTCCCTGGGCTACAGGTGGAGAAACCGAGGCCACAGAGGTGCGAGCCTTGCACAAGCCACTCACGTAATTCAAGGTCGTTTCCCCATCGAAATAAATGTAGGAAGGCTGGGCGCAGTAATCCCAGCACTCTGGGAGGCCGAGGCGGGAGGATCACCTGAGGTCAGGAGTTTGAGAACAGCCTGAGCAAGAGTGAGACCCCCGTCTCTACTATAAATAGAAAGAAATTAATTGGCCAACTAAAAACATATATAGAAAAAATGAGCCGGGCATGGTGGCGCATGCCTGTAGTCCCAGCTACTCGGGAGGCTGAGGCAGGAGGATGGCTTGAGCCCAGGAGTCGGAGGTTGCTGTGAGCTAGGCCGACGCCACGGCACTCACTCTAGCCTGGGCAAAAGAGTGAGACTGTGTCTCAAAAAATAAAAATAAAATAAATAAAATAAAATAGCAGCACGGCAGTGACCTCCTTCGTCTGGGCGTCTTTTGCAAGAGGCAGGCAGGGAGACAGCAGCTGGGACTCCCAATCCCAGGAGCAGGTGCCCGGGCCGCGGGGCCTGGGAAATTCCTCCGTAGCAGGAATTTAGCACCACAGGGCTCGTCTCTCAGTGGCTGATGGAACCTTCTGGAAAGAAGCCACAAACCTCTGCAGGAGGGCCGCCTCTCAACAAAGGGGCTCTGGACAGGTCCCTCCGGCGTCTGCCCCAGCGGCCGTTCCAATCCGCCTGCGGAGGGGGCAGAGCCGCCAGCAGACAGCGACACAAACGCAGTTCCCAGCGCTCCCTTTTCCGTCCGCTTCGAGCCCCCCTCCTTCCCAAACGGACTCGGAACGCGCGCCGCGCTCCGGGCGCCGCCGAGCCCATTTTAGTCCCGGGGTTCGCTCAAGGCGGGCAACCGCCTTGTCTCCCCATTTTCCAGATGGGGAAGCCGAGGCCGGCGCCCTCGCTTCCCAGGGCTTTGCCGTGGCGGAGCCCCCACAGAGGGTGGCGCAAAAGAGCGCGCGCGAGAGACGTGCGCCCGCCCCGCGGGTGTGGGCAGGGCCGCGCGCCTGAAACCTGCAGCGGCGAAGGCTTCCGCGCGCCTTCTCGCTGCTTCGGTTCGGCTCGCTCAAACTTCTTGGCCAACAAGGGTGGGCCTGTAGGGTGCGCCCGTGCAGTCTCTGCCCCCGTCGCCACGGGGCCGTCCTGTGCGTAGGCATGTGTTCCTGTAGGGGCGCCGGTCGTGTTGGATCGAGTGCCCACCTCGCTCCAGCGTCGCCTCGCCTCCCGTAATTACACCTGCCGCGGCCCCTATTTCCAAACGAGGTCGCCGTCGGAGGTCACGGGGGTCAGGGCTTGGACATGTCCGGTTTTGGAGCGCAATGCAACTCCTCATGCCCGGAGAGGCTGAGTGTCCCGCCCAGGGGGTGCCTCTGGGGATGGCGGGGCGAGGAACTCGGTGGCCTGGACCCTCCAAGTCTCTGTGTGTCTTGCAGCCCCGGGGGCGGCCTCATCATCATCGACAGCATGCCAGACATCCGCAAGAGGAAGCCCATCCCGCTCGTGAGCGACCTGGTAGGCGCCCCCGCCCTTCCCTCTCTCCCCCGGCAGAGCGGGCCTGCTTTGAGCAGTGCGCGACCCGAGCAACTGTGCGTGCGTGCGTGCGTGCGTGCGTGCGGGGGCCTGGGGCCGACTTAGGCGTTCTGTGGGACTAACGGAGTCTGGTTTCTACTCCACCTGCTGCATGGACACTTCAGGCCATGGTGAGTAGCCGTGACCTTGGCCCCTTGGGTATGTCCTCTACACACACACATGCCCCCTCCCTGGGATCTTCCAAGCCAGCCCGCAATTCGCGGGTTCTGGGGACTCTTGCCATGCCCCGCTGCTCACGGGCAGGGGCCGGAGCGTGAGGCTCCCCCGGCCTCCGGGCTGCCTTGGTTCATGGTGAGGCTGGTGGTCTTGCTCTGTGGCCGGCCACCGCGCCCAAGCATGGCTCCCAAGTCCCGCAGTGGGGGAGGGGTGTGAGTCTGGTGTGGGGCTGCTCGCCTCCCGGGGGTCCCTCCTAAGCCAGAACCTCTGTCACTTCCCGGTTCTTTGGTCGTCCTGCTGCCATCGTGACCTTGTTTCCAATGTGTTCCCATCGGTGGCGGGTGGCCCCCACTCGCGGGCCGCCGTTCCCGTCCGTGGCTGTGCATTCTTCTCCTGGCGGCGGCGATGCCCTGCGTGTCCACCGCTGTGACCCCCACCGCTGTGACCCCCACCGCTGTGACCCCCACCGCTGTGGCCCTCCCTCCACAGTCCCTGGTGCAGTCCAGGAAAGCGGGCATCACCTCAGCCTTGGCCTCCAGCACGCTGAACAACGAGGAGCTGGTGCGTGGGGCGCCTCGCTCCCCCGGGTGGGCTGGGCTGGGCTGGGCTGGGGGCTGCGGGGAGTGTCCGAGCGTCTGAGCCCCCCGCCCCGGGAATGGGGGGCGTGACAGACACTGGCGTAAGGCAGCGAGGATCCCCAGGGCGTGGGGGGCGGGCAGGGCACTGGGGCGCGCGGGGCGCGCCGGGACGGGGACGCGCCCGCTTGCAGCTGAGGGCCGCCGCTGCACCCCAGCCGCGCCCCCAAACTCCTCCGCAGAAAAACCACGTTTACAAGAAGACCCTGCAAGCCTTAATCTACCCCATCTCGTGCACGACGCCGCACAACTTCGAGGTGTGGACGGCCACGACGCCCACCTACTGCTACGAGTGCGAGGGGCTGCTGTGGGGCATCGCGCGCCAGGGCATGCGCTGCACCGAGTGCGGCGTCAAGTGCCACGAGAAGTGCCAGGACCTGCTCAACGCCGACTGCCTGCAGCGTGAGCGC